AGTGATAAATATAAAAAAGTTTTCCTTACATAGTGATGTTTAAATGTCAAGCAGAGAGACTTCAGTTTGGCTGCTCTGATTCATATTACATAAACCATAGTCTCCACAAATGATTCAGTTTCTTCTTCTGCCATTAGATTTCTATTAAACAAAATTAGAATGACTTCATTCCTCAACATCTCACCAGTTTGAAGTGAGTCACACAGAAACCAGTTAAATGAAACCTTATTATCACCTGGCAGAGGGAGGTAATTACAATGTGAGATCCATTGCACCTTTTGGTAGAAATAATAAAAAAGAATCAAGAAATGCACACATTTGGCAAAATATAGAACAACTCTCAGTGCAGTTTTGGCTCTCTCCTCCCTGTACACGTGCATAAATGCTGTCTGTTTCATTAGTGTAACATGCAGCCATGAGGCATGAATGCATATGAATCCATCACACGCAGCTGATAACATTAATATTGTCCAATTAATGTTTGTTTGTTAGAGTGTAATTGTTCAGCTCTCTGTTTTAATTAAGCACAAAAAAAATCTATTCCAAATAGTATGTATGCATAATGGCAAAGCAAATAGATGAAACCCCTCAGCCATGACCAAACTACTTTCAGTCTATTGCTCTGAGTTGCCTATATAGCTGCCTGCAGTAAAAGGCTAATTTAGTTCACACACACACACACACACACACACACACACACACACAGAGGCAGTATATACACAAGGAGAGGGAGACAAGGAGAATTGTGTTTACATTTTTTATTACAACTGTCAACTCCATATGAGGAAAAAGTTGTTAAAGGGGAACAGAACAGCGTTTCCATTATGTTTTTCATGTGCCCCAGGACAGTTTATTTTCTATTAGCGAACATGAACTACTGTCCCCAATAGACAGCCACAAGAGAGGGAAGGCTCTCTGCCACATATCACCTACAAACTGATATCAAATAAGCTGCCAGGAATGTGACTCTGGTTTGAAGTATGAGACTCAAATCTAAAGAAATGTTCAGACCTTTGTAAATAACATCTCTAAATTGAGGTTACTTCTGTCTCATTTTCGTGGATGAAATGGAGAAAAGTGTATTTAATCCTCCGCTCGTCTGTTGTTGCCTCTTCTGGGTTTTTTCCACTCTGCAACATGCACTAGCTAAGAGTGTGGATCCCATAACTCCTACCTTAATTACCTTATTTTGGCTGCTTTCATTTTGAATTTAAGATGTGAATTTTGTTTTTAAAGCCATGCATTATGACAGGCGCTCAGAGGGTTTCTGCTCAATTTCTCCAGACTAACAGAGATAAAGCTCTTTCGACTGGCTTTAAGGTTATTTTAAAGATAAAAGATAATCAAGCGGTGTGGAAAGATTTCTTAAACTTTTGTACGAACCTGTGTGAGCGTGTGTGAATCATGGAGTTTATCTAAGACACATCTGAAAGTCACCTAATGAATGTCACACCAGCTCCTTTGAAAAATGAATCAGAACAGAAAGCTGTGAGTGCTGCTGGTATTTTAGGAATATAGGCACAAATGCTGTCGCTGTTGACATAAACCCCACTGGGGTGTGAACGGTTTTTACCTTATTTCAAACTTTTATTACAAAAGTTAGTTGCTGTTGAGAATTTGAGAAACAAAATCTCTCCCTTGAGCAAACGGCCATAAAGGTTACGGACGATATACAAACATGACACTGCAATATATAATGTGTGCAGTGTACAGAATAAAAAATTAAACCTCAATATGTTTGTGAAGAAGTAAACACAGAAGAGAGTGTGAGGACGGTAATAATATGGAAGTAACATCAACTTATTCAGTTCAATTCCCAGTGGCTTCATCGTTTCTGCAGCTTCTGTAGAGTCGGTGAAAGAATGTAGCACCACGAGTTCCCGATCTCTCCCAAGCTTTCTTGTCCAGATCTACTCAGATTTTAAGAACACTCAGGGAATCTTGGGACCTTTAACTTCAATGAGCGTTGCATTTCTGTACAATATGAATACATAAATACAAGATGGGGAACGGTTCAATGAGCAGGAATGGGGATGAGACTACTGTTGGACTTCTAGAGAAGCCCATCCAGCTCCTGAGTTTAACTTGCAGTAATATATGAAATCTAACTGTTAGAGTTATAGTTTTTTTTCCCAGAGATGTTGTATAAAATAACAAGATTTGCCTGCATTAAAGAGACGCTTCATTTGTCCAAAGTGAACAAATCAAAAGTGACAAATTATAAACAACAACTAACAAGTGTTCTCATTATTGTTAAACAGCCCAGCTGCCAATGTTGTCAAGAAAATTTGGGATCATACGTTTCAGTAAACCATAAATACATTAAAATTGCATTTGCATCTCATATGTATTATATCAACGTCTCTACAGTGATGCAACATATAAGCCGACTTTGTCATTGTGAGGGGGAGGGGATGTTGGATGGCATGTCACCTAGGCAAGATGCCTGCCAAGCTGCAGACCATTGTTCAACAATAACAGCTGGTTTGTTTGTTTTTTGGCATGCCTTTGCTGCAATTGGACCAGGGTTTGTGGCACTGAACCTGGGTGTTTTTTACCAACACATTGCAGGTTTTTCTGACAATGTTTGAGCCACTGAATCTTCCCTAAAAATTCAATTAGTAGCCTGGGCTATTTGTTTAAATAACCAAAATCGGTGGCCCCATATTTGGGACAGGCCTTTAATTCCTTTCACACATAACTGTTGCTCAGCAGATCAGGAAATACAATCAAATTGTTTATTTAAACAGAAAATGTATCAATTATGAATCATTCATTTGATTTAGCTCTGACAGACAGCAAATCAGAGAGAGATTTAACAGCACCCAGCACATCAACACAACACCACTTTATCCTGTTACAACAATCCTTACAACTTGGATTAATTTTTATGCAAAACCCTTTTGATTCTTCTGATCTGAGGACCCTTATGGACTAAAGGAATATAGTTAACTTACTGTGTAATTGAGGAATGGGCACATAATTTGAGGTAGCCAACAACCCGGTTTTACACAACCAAAGAACTTCTATTAAAAAAATGACCTGCTTGCCAACCAGATGGGGTGTCTAATTGAGACAGGAGTTTATTTGTCTAAACGTGAAGCCACACTGGGCTAGTAAAAGGGACTGGCGTTTAATTGGGACTAGGCTTTTAATTGAAGTTTTACAGTAAGTGTTTTTTACTGACACACTGTGACATTTCCTAGCAGTGTTTGAAGAACTTGGGTGTTTTCACTAACACAACACAACGTTTCCCAGCAGCATCCCCAGCGACCTTTAAGCCACTGAACCTGGGTGCTTCTCTTCCTGATTTTCCAACAGCATTGTGCCACTTTGGTTTTAAACCAAGACATAATGTCTTTCTAACCATTACTAAGTCTGTTTTTTAGTTTAAACCTCGTAGCACCTCAGTAGCACTGATGATAGGCAAGGACTGAAACATTTGCTGCTATTTTTATTCACTTTTTAAATTAGTTTTTGCACTTTGAGAACCTTTCTTTTTGTGCACGGGTGTCCTAAATACATTTTTTTTAACTGATCTCTGCACCTTTTTTGTGGCTGTCCAGCCCAGTTGCATTGGTGTGTGAGTATCTCCTCTGCCATCCTTTCTTGGCCTTAACCACACCTCCACCACAGTGTTGTTAAGAAACGTGACATTTCAACATATCCACTACAATAATATAAAAATGTAATGTATCTGTGGATTTCAGAAACATACAATACAAACATTTTTTCTGCCAGTTAGGTTGTGCTTAATCTGCAGTTGATTCCTGTGGATTAATCATTTGGTTTATATATTGTCAGATTATAATTAAAAAAGGGCCATCATAATTTAATGAAGCCCAGGTTGATGTCTTTAGTTTGCATATTTTGTTTGACCGATGCTCCAAAACCAAAATATATTTAATAAACAATCACGTAAGTTACAGAAAAGCTACAAATTACAACTGAGATGCTGGAACCAGATGAAGTTCGGTTTTATTTTTGCTTGAAAACTTGAATAAACAGCTAAAAGGTTGTTTTATGTAATGACTAATTCATCTGGTCTAAATGTTTTAAAGTAACACTGAATAGTTGAGTTTAACCACAGGTCACTATAGCACTCCTTTGAATCTTAATCAGGGTATGATACAATACTGTACCTTTGTAAAGCTCATGTTGTGCGAGAGAGATGTTGATTCAATCTAAGGTCATTTTCATTCCATACAGTAGTTTGAGGTGTGGTTGAAGTGGGCTGCAGCACATTGTAAGGCGTTTCTAGTGTTGCATTCACCCTTTGTGTATAGTATTACATTCAAATTAAATACATCCAAGGTCTTCTGTAAGCAGTGTGTTGAAGCAACATCGTCTTTCTTTATGTGGCTGATCATGTCAGGTCGTGTTAATAATGCTATTGTCAGCTGCATCACAAGTTTCAGATACGTTTATATAAGTAGCTACAGAACGAGATGTCGCTGTTTCTATAGGCCATGAACAGAATCACAAGTTGTTATGTGATAAGCTGTCAGTGAATCTACAAAAAGAGTTTCATTCATCACCAAAGGCATATTACTCTATTCTCTGAAACACTGGGTCCCAACCTGGGGGTCCTGACCCCCACTAGGAGTCCCCAGAGCGTCACAGGGGGTCCCAAAGTGCTCTTGATTTTAAGGGGTGTAAAAATCTTTTCTTAAAAATATACAGTGGCCCCATATCTCATTATCATTTTCAAAGTTTACATTATTTTCCAAGATATAAACCTGTAAAAAATCTTACAGGATAAGGTTGCAGTGAGGACCTGGGGTCTCATTTATAAAACAATGCATAGGATCCATACTTAAAATGTGTGTATGAACAAACAAAAGCTAAAAATGGTGTGCAGCAATTTTTTTTGACAATTTTTGAAGCTCAGCGTAAGTTCAATCAGGAAGACTTTCTTGTGCTCATCCATTCACAATTCTCTCCCTCCCACTCCCACTGCTTCCTCCAATCAGCTGACTATGACTGTTCACTCTTCTAGTTATCCAATCAAACTTTGCCACAATCTCTATCAGCCAGTCAGGATGCCACTGCAACTCTCTCCTCTGTTGCATCAGGCGTCATTTTAAGCAGAATTGTTGCGCCTTCTCCACCTCGTTCACTTCCAGCCATCGTATCCAGAGTCCAGGACAAGCTCACAAAAGGCCCACTCCTCTACTCATCCAGATCATCGCCACTTCTCCATCTTCACCTCTACCCCTATCCCTATTCGTCTATGGATTGTTCACCCTCCTTAAATTATACCATCTCTATGGGTTCTAATCGCCAAAGAGTTTCCACATTTTTCATTCTTATGTGCACATGTTAATAAATATTCTATTTACTATTATAAAAAGAAAAAAAGAGAGTCTCTCCTGATTGAACTACAATCAGGCTTCCCCCTCACCATCTGTATCGCTAATTTGCCGTCTCCAAAATGTTTGTAAGCATGGGCCAAAGTTTTTCCCATCAAGTCTGTTTTTGCGTGGGAAGTGGCGTACACCTCTTTGAGGCCTCGTTGGGGCATACACAGTGTTTATAAATGAGACCCCATGAACACAAAACACTGCTTCTGATTTAGAAAAGTGTGAAGTTAAAAGGAACCAAAGAGCTAATAGAACAAAGGCCAAGCGTCAGACCGAGGAAAACACTGAATTTGTCAAAAATAAAATTTTGTATGATTGTTAAAAACTTACAAAAAGAAATATCTGATGTAATATTCATCGAAATCGCTCATCTAATACAAACTTCCTGCAGTTATTGTTTTCACTATTTGTGTTCATGTCGCAGTTTATCTGTTGATCAGTGCTATTTCTGTTATGCATTGAATATATTATGAAATATTCCTAAAATATGACATTTAGTGCAGGGTTGTCAGTGTACTCAATGATATAAAAGGGATCTCTTTCAGAAAAAGGTTGGGGCCCACTGGTATAAAGTGGATGGCATCACTGATTTAGAGGAGAGATTTTCTAAACAACAAATTCAATATCATTACAGTCATTATATGAATCTTAAAATAACATGATTTCGATGACATTTACCGCACTGCTAACATTAAATTATACTCAGAACTTGAGTGTTTACAAAGCAAAGCCACACTTAAAATGCCTCGGACCGCATGACAGCTCGGTGAAGAATCTTGTCACCAGCGAGACAACCATAATGCATAATTGCATTAAGTAAATGTTGAGCAAACTGCTTAGAATTCAGCTGCTTTCAACTAGCACAGCATGTGGCATTCATACAAGTCTGATGCCTTGGATGGGATGATTTGCAGTCGCTGTATAAGTGTTATTATAAAATGTCTCTTCATTGCAAAGGTAAAATGCAAAGTGTCTGACTGAACTCAAGAGATAAAAGAGAAGCAATCAGGGTGGGTCCAGGAGGAATATTATTCATATAAAGAGGACAACCGATGAAGTGGTAATAATGGTAAATATTCAGTTCTGTTAGTGGCTACAATTTGCTTCAAGGCAAAGAACCTCCAATGTTTCCCATCATTACTATAAGTGGAGTTCCCTCCACAGGAGTACTCAGTTTAGAGAGACAAACAAAAGCATGATGTAAATACTCTCAGCGGTGAAGAAGCTCCTCTTCTCTTCTCTCTCCCCTTTCTCCCCATGATTAGCATTTCAAACAGTCCTTGTTTTGCATCAAGGCTTCATGCTTGTGTGCATGCCATCACAGCCTTGCAGGTGGTGGCCTGTCCAACCAGTGGAGTCGAAAAGCAGCCTTTCTGTGCACGACTGAGTGTGTGTCTGTGTGCAGGCGTGTTTGGAAGAGTGCCTCTTTGTGGTAAGGAGTAGTCCGAAGGGATCTGACCCCTTTACAAAGCTCAGAGCAAGTCTACGGGACAGCATTGTTTACAAATGCTACATAATCATAAATTTCTCAGTATTTGTGGTCTTCTGCTTTGATCGGCGGAGAGAGTCACAAGCAACTGACTGGATTCACATTCTGCCTCCTGAAAATCCACAAAATCTCTCCTTAAGTGTCTGCCAGCAGGCCCATCCAAACTTTGATTGAGTGCATCACAATGTGCCTAGCATATCAAGCACTGAAACAATGATACAGACTTGTGCAGTGGCTGCCTGTTTGGACTGGGAAAGGGGCGCTGCGTCGCTTTATCTTAAGTCAGTTGCTAATAGATTGTCCACTCCACGGGATTAACCCCAGCCTAAATTGTGTTCAAGCTAAGGGAAATTAAAATAATGAGTTCCTGCAGTTTAAAGCTCAACCAGGAGATATCTAATTAAATCTACATTGTTCTTTGCTCTATCTGACAGGGCGTTCACTGTCTTTGGAGTCCAGTGTTAGTTAAGGTGACTGCAGCAGGCCAGGACAGGCTTGTACTGATTAGATGGATTTTCTTGCTACCGCGCCACCTGAAAACAAGATAGAAAAGTACAAAATTGCACAACTCTGGTTTTGTTCATTATCATTACAATTATTTCAAAATATTCCACACAAGATAAAGCTGAGCAATGTGATAAAATGTAATTGTATTTCATATATAAAGTAATTAGCTCCATCTTTAACAGCTGCAACAATTAAATGAAGTACACATTAATCCATCAATAATTATAATCCAATGATTTAATGAACATTATTCTGAAATAGGCAGTTCTGCATAATGTGTCATTTTCCTCTTGGTACTTTAAGTAAATTTTGATGCTTAAAGAGTGACTATTTTTCAACCTGGACTTAATTTTCCCAGCTTTTTGTGTCCAAGTCACTAATGGAGACGACAGTTTTTGAAACTGGTCTAGTACTGAGTAAGAGCGCTGCAGCTGGAGGCAGAACAGGCTACTACATAACTACATGGGGCAATTGTGCACCATCAATTTATATCCTCTATATAAGTGCTTGTTTTTGCCACTGACAGGCTCAGATTATTATTCTAAGTGTGACTACATCATGGAAAGGATCCCTACAGAGACAGACCGTTGTGTGAAAGAGGAAGATCATTTTTGTTTAACCAGAAACAGTCAAAAATGGATATCGTCAAAGCAACCAGACTCCATTTAAATAAACTGTAATGTTAGTGTGTATCAGACAAAATATTTCAACATCTGAGTGGGTGGGTGAGTGAGTTAAGGGTTTATTCTAACCAAACTAGAGTCTGTGATTGTTGGAACAGTAGAAGATGAACCAAGATGGTTTTTGTGAGCTGTATTTTGTTTCTGTCGTCTTTGAATTAAGTGTGTTTTACAATGATAAATGACTGTTTTTTTAAATGGAGTCTACACACACTGGTAATATATGGCACCCATCTGTTAAAGGTGCCATACAGTGCCTTTGCCAAATAGTGCTCCTTAGATCCATCAGAGGTTCCACATAGTACAATACTGTTTTTAAATTCATAAGCCTGGAGGTTTGAATGATGCCAGATAATACCACGGCTCAGTCTATGTGCTTCCTAATGACACTTTTACTTAAAATATTAATATTAACTTAGATTATTAATAATTTCTGATGAAATGTTGGCTTGAAAGATTCAGGATCCTGTACTAAATGCTGACTGAGAAACACATTATGTTACCTTTGTTAAGCCTGGAATATTTCTGTGCACGTGAGCACAAAAAGGTTGAGAGCCACTGCCAGCAGAGAACCTCTAAAGGACAATACAGGCACTTTAAAGGTTCTCCAATGGTTCTTTATTTGAGTTTAGTTTAATTTACTGGGAAAGAACCGGAAGAGAACCTTTAAAGAACGAAACAAGGGCTTAAAAACTTTTCTGTGCATAGGTCCATCTCAGTAAGAATCATTTTCATAATGTTGTCAGACACTTATAACAACAATCTGAGCCTGTCAGTGGCAAAAAAAAAGCAATTAAGTGGTCAAAATTGACGGTGCAGCATTGCCTGTTAACGTTACATCGCAGCCTGATTTGCAGAGACAGATGCAGGCTGCAACACTCTCGCTCAATGCTGCACCAGTTTCAAAAACTGTTTTCTCCATTAGTCACTCAGACACAAAAACGTAGGCACCAGTATGCTTTAGCAGTATCTGTTTTTTCATACCTATTCTTACCTTCTTGACATTGCACTGGGGTATACGGCATATAAAGGTATTTGCATTAAAAAGACAGAAGTCATTGAAGCATATATGTCATTGTCTAGCCTACAGTGCTGTGATTCTCATATGCAATTAGCCTAGATAGGAAATAAGCACCCTTCATGCTCAAGGACCCGGTGACACATCAGTGGGTTGAACAGATATGATGTGCTGAATAAATTCATGTGGCTAATAAACTGCTTTTGTAGTTAGAGGAAGTCATCGCAGTATAAAGTTATATGTGACAATACTCCCAAACAGTTTGAGAGGCATTTTTCTTTTTCACTAGTCCTGTAACATTATCCCCAACACTCGCAGTCGCCATTTTGCATAGCTCAGCTGCCTGTTCCTCGAGTAGACTGACCTCTGGTGGCGCGTGCTGTGCACTACATCACCTCAATGCAGCATCTCGATATCACTTTACTGGATAATACCTTTGGGATTTTGAAATACTCCAGTAAACATTAATACCTAGATAACCTGATACCTTGATACCGCTCAAGCCTAGGTACAAGATTGAAAAATACCATGGTTACCCTTTAAGCAAAATTCAGAATGCAGGACCTTTACTTCTATCAGTATTTCACCAATGTGGTATTACTGCTTTTACTGCTCTGAGCGCTTCTTCCACCACTGCTCTCCTCTGTTTCATTCTATTGTTCAATTTAATCTGATGGACCATATGACCACTGGCTATCTTTTCATCACTGGCCGCACGCCGCCAGTGCTAACGTGCCCCTGTATCACTGTAAAATGTTCCCTCCACAAATTGCACACATAAAACAGTTGGACAAAAAAGGCAACTTAGGAGAAAGTGCATTTCTAAACGCAGTGGGGTTTCCTCTGGCCGTCAGATTTAATTACATGGGTTTTACTGTTCAGTATTAGTTTACAGCTTATTTCATGTTTGTCCTCTTGGCCCCATCATTCACCAGATTATAGAATTAGGTTTTCTGAGCCAACTGTGCCTGGCGGAGAGCAAGAGGCTTGATACGGCCAATGGGAGCGGTGATTATGCTTGATTGTGGAATCTTTCAGCATCAAAGGAGAGCTTACTAAAATAAAGCTTTATGATGAGCATTCACAAGTCTGTCGGCCCCTGTTTTGCATAAGAGTAATGCAATAAAAACGGAGAAGATTTACTGTATGACTGCGTCTATAAATACCAAGCCTTAAACTGAAGCCATTCTGTGCTCATGTCTTTTGTTGGTGCCACTCTGACTCAGACTGGTGCAGGCCTTACCTTTGTGGTCTTTACTTTGTTTCCAGAGATGCATGACCAACCAGTGAGGTCAGGAAGGACTCGGCACTCTTCTCCCTTCAGACACGGCTCCATTTTACACCACCACTTCTGACGAACAATGGAGGCTAGAGAAAAACACACCACAGCCGAAGGTCACTTTTGAGACGGAAGGACTCTTTTTTGTTTGTTTGAGAAAAAACATCTCAATCAGGTGTCACTCTCTGGTCCTTGACAGCCTCAGTATCAGTAGACTCTGATGAAACTGACTAACCTGAATCTACTTTGACAAATAATATATTCATGTCATGCCAGAATATTTTCGGTTAAGAGAGGTAGAAGACAGTCCCAGTAATACTACCTTCAACACAAGAGGGCAGAGCCCTTGTTGTGCCCGCCACCTGTCCTGGGAAGCAGGAGCACTTGACTGTTTGAGAGCGTTCCTCAATCTTGTTCTTATTGCAGCAACGATGAGCAGCAACCACTTCACAAGTCCCTGTCCTCTCCTGCGATGACCCTGAGGAGGAGAATTCAGAGGGAAAGATGACAATTTTTCAGACTATATTTTACATGTAAGTGGAGTCATCTCAAGTGACCCCAGCCTTTACACATGGCGGTATTATAGTCAAATTGCAATGATTTCTTGGCTTTATTAGATGTTAGATCTAAATAAATATAGGGTTTATTTGCGACCCTCATTCAACCCAGACTAAATAAGCAAAATGATAAAATACCTCAGCTCTAACTCTGATGTTTTCAAAGCTACAGCACCACCAAGTGGATAAAAAGCATCAGCACTCACACCTCAGTCAAGGAAAAACACATTGAACTGTCAAAACACATTAGCAGGTATCAGCATCTTTAGCTCCCTAATTTAATGTTTCAGATTGCGTAAATAAAGAGAAATGGGCTGAATAAATGGCATGAGCAGAAATATCTGTCTCACACCTGCTTCTGCATCATTTACCCAGGAAAACAACTGAATGTTGCTTTTGATGATCATTACAGTGCTAATGATTCATGCTGATACACTTAAACTGAATTACAGGTTGAAGGGGAGCAACGAAGCAGAAGTAAAAACAAAGAAAAGAAAACATGCACACATTTTGCTTGTTTAGACCTGAGGTGTCTGTTTGCTGCACGACTGCAAGGCTAAAAGGTTAATTCATAATTAAAATGGGGTTTAAAATCAGACTACAATCAGGGCAATGCTCTTTGAGAGTTCTATTGTTGTACTGGGAGAGAGAAACTAAATGCATTTGCTCAAGTGCTGTATTTAAGTACTTTCATACTTGTACTTCACTTGTGGCTGTGTTTCTATTTAAAGCTATTTTTCTACTCCACCATATTTCAGTCAGAAATATTGTACTTTTTACTCCACTACATTTACGACCCTCGGTGCAAGTGAGGTTGGGCCTTTATGAAAAGATATTGACCAGGTGCCTGACCATAGGTAGCATGCATCCAAGAGCAAGCCACAAAAATTGCGGACATAGAGACGAAAAAATGCCAAGTGGACAAAGTTGGGGCTGGCTTTCACTTTCACTTTAGCCAGTAACAGTGTTTACAATCAGTAGCCAACAATTCCTGAGGCCTGTACTAAGCTGGCTCTCTTTTTACTGGGATAAATCACCGTGGCAACTTATGCTGAACAGTTAAGCCTAGTTCACATTACATGATTTTCACCCCATTTTGACGTTGCAGAGGATCTTGAAAGCCATCTTGGGTCGGAGGTCAATCGGCAGATAGTCTGCCACGACAAGTCCTCATGTGTGAACAAGCCTACGAGCAAGTCACACCCTCGTCTGTGACTGGGACTGGATATCTGGCATGCTAGAAAACTGGAGAAGTCTGACACGACTGACAAAGAGTATCAGCCAATGAGAGGTGGGATACGTCCCATGTCAGCACGCAGGAGGACAGAAGAAATGTGAGGAGGACAAGCCAACAAGCAACAACAGCAATGGCGGCGTCCACAGGATCATGGGGAGCGTGTTGTGTTTGGACCCAGGCCCTGGAGGCAGATCTGATTCAACAATGGAAAGAATATCCATGCCTTTACGATGTGTTGTCTCCAAATTTGGTGACATCACCGCATTATCTGGGGCTCTGTGGAGAAATCTTGTGGTGTGCACACACAGGTCGTAACGCAGTTGGCGAGACTCCTGCTGACAGAAACACACCTCACCAGGTATGAACACTCAAAATATATATAGGGTAGTAGAATCACTTCATTGTTCCAGGGCTCTATTTCCACTGGTTTTAAAACAGATGATTTTAGCAGGATTTTAGAATTTATTTTAGTCTACAATGACAGTTGTTATTTTACACTCTGATTCTGAGACACCTGTGTTGTGAGAACTGGGAAAAAGACAATTTTTTTATCAAAAAATAATCCACACACTGCTAATTGGCTCATGTTGTTAAAAATGCAACATTTCAGTGAGATTGACCTCATCAGTCATTAACTACTTTTCCACCATTTACTTCAGTAACAGAAACAGTCTGGGTTTACTTTAAAGTGTTTATGTGACATATTCAGAGTAGTTTCATCATCTTTTAACTACATAGCAAAAAATACTTTATACTAATGTCATACACAGCCTGGTAGGAAAATCCGGAGTTGTCTGAACTAGTTGACAACCAGCGTTGTGGTACCTGTAATCCGATGTGACTGGTTAGTCAAGCCAGATGACGAGAAGATATCCTGGGTAAGTTGAACTAGCTTTGTAGTACAGGCCTCTGGATAGTATACCTTTAAGCTTTTATGTCACAGATAATGATTTTAAAAACAAATATTATGGATCAAACCAGAAGTGACTAACTTTTCCAGCTTGCGACTCCTTAAAAAAATGAATATAAGCCTTGGTAGCAAGATTTCGTTTTCTCTTCTTCCCTTCCCCTTAAGTCATCTCACAACCCCCCCTTGGAGGAGGCCTGACCCCTAAACTGGGAGCTGCTGGATTAAACAATCTGAAGTTATAAAGTCGCTCATATGCAGTTTATGTATTTATTCATCCCTATTAACAATCTGATGCAATCTGTAATGATATGAACCAGTACTTTTACTTTACTTTACTTTACACTTAAGATTAATTTTCATGATGATACTTGTACTTTCACTGAGGTAGGATTTAAAACCAGTGGCTGTAACTTGTAGTGGAGTACATTTACTTTTATTCAAGTAAAGGATCTTAAAGGTCCAGTGTGTAGGATTGAGGGGCATCTGTTGGCAGAGATGGTATATAATATTCAACTATGTTTTCATTAGTTTATATTAACCTGAAATTAACCTTAAGCCCCTTTTACACTGCCAGATTTTCGGCGAATGTTGGGCCGTTTTGCTGGCAAGCTGCGAGTGTTTAGACACACAGAGCTGGATTGGCAAGTTGATCCAAGGCGCCCAATTTTATGCCACATAGGGGTAATCATATTGGCGGAACCTTTTTGGTTTAGAAAGAACACGGCAGCCTTCTGCAACGGGAGGGGCTGTTGATGACTTGTGGGAGGAGCTATTGATGACGCCGCACATGCGACCCACTGGCGGTGGATAAACAGGAAACAGCTGATAGCAGGAATTAGCGAGCAGCTAGTAGCAAGAGGGAAACGCAAACCTGAAAGACACTGTAAAGATGAGCAACTGGGGAGACGAGGAATTGCGCACCCTCCTTGTCCTCGCAAACGAAGAGGCCATTAACCGTCAAATGATGGGAACGGTGAAGAACAGGAAGTGAAGGGAGAATCGCCGAAGGACTGACCAGCTGCGGCTTCCCTCCCATGTCACAGTTTACGTCACACGCTGAGCTACATGTTTTGTTACTTGCTCACGCCCCCCATTGCCTCGAAAAAGGCGCATTCTGTATAAACAAAAGTAGGTAGGCGGCATTTTGCTGCACTCTCCGATTTTGTTTTTATACTGCCAATGCTGAAAGAAGACTGATTGGGCTTTCCTGCAAATCTGCACAATTCCTATTTAAAAAGGGCTTTAGACTGAGCCATTTCGATCTGCATAAGAAGAGTGTCCTCTTCCATGGAGTCCGTCATGTTGTTCTACAGTAGCCCAGAATGGACAAACCAAACACTGGCTTTAGTTAGGGCCATTTGCGTTTTTGTGTTGGCCACCATAGTTCTCCTACACGCTTGGCACACACGAGTTTCAGTTCTGCAACCTCACCACCAGATGCGACTAAATCCTCTACAAAGGACCTCTAATACTTCTTCCACCACTGATGAATGAAACAAATCCCCCCTCCCCTCCTCCTTATCTCTCACATGATACTGCAGAGATTAAATGTCTAGTATGTCATATAAACAGTAAGATTAGGCTGTATATAATTAGATTCACGTCAAGTAGCAACAGTCAAAGAGCATGGCCAGTCAGATCCCTTTAATAGCATCTTAGTATTAATATTGTGGATCGTCTGTCTGATCATTGGGCTCTAAAAAACTACAGTCTGCATTTTCACTTCTGTTTCTGATGAGAAGCATGGTGAGTTCCTGAGTCTTGTTGCTTAAACTGAACTCTCTACTAGGCGACCAGGCTGGTGACCAGGAGCCATAATGAGTCCCTCAGGGGGTGTGACTGGTCTGGCAGGGTCTGACACCTACCTGCCTGTCCTCGGGAGCTTTGGTTGCCAGTGGACACAAGCTGGCTGCAGAAGCCTGCTATACAGAGAAGCAGGAGGCCCCAGTGTAATGGTCCAGCCAATATGTTCAGCCTCATCTTGCCTGCACAGACAAAGACATTCATGTGCACTTCATCAATAGGAATTAGGCTAATACCTCTCCTGTAAGTGTGTGACCATAGAGTGAATTAATATGACTCCTGATGTCTCCTGATTCATAAACTCATTGCATCTGTTTGCTCAGTCGTGACTCTCACATCACTGAGCTCAGCCAAGGCAAATCAAAGACATGTCAATAAAAAAAAAAAGACAGATCAGAGGCTCGATTTTGGAGGCAAATGATGAGAGTGGGTCCTGACTCACATCATCCCTTCAGCTGTAACTGCATTCAAAGCTAAATTCTCCCTCCAAAACAAGTTGTATCCCACATGAGTCACAGAAGAAACTGGGACGTGGACTTTTATGTCAAATTACAGCAATAACTAATGCAGGGCAAGATGACATCAAGTAAAACAACACGGCGAAAGTTTTCTCGAGGCGTTTTCATTCCCCGCATAACCCCATATATATAAAGTTTAGAGCTGAAACTGTTATTTTTTATTATTGATTAAACGTTTAGTCAATAAAATAAATGTCCTTCATGCTTTCCCTGAGTTGAAGCTTCAAATTGCTTCTTTTGAGTCAAATTTAGAGTTTAAAAAAACAGCAAAAATCTGCAAGGAGCCTACTTACATTTAAAAACTGTATATGTTTAACATTTTTGCTTAAAAATACTGATTGATTGATTATCAGTATAGTGGGACATTAATTTTCTCTCAGTTAACTAAACAAGTAATTGATTGTCAGGTGGGGTCCACCCTGGACAGGTCACCAGACTACCACAGGGTTGACACATAGAGACAGACAACCATTCACACTCACATTCACACCTACGGACAATTTATAGTCGTCAATTAACCTGCATGTCTTTGGACGGTGGGAGGAAGCCAGAGTACCCAGAGAAAGCCTGCAAACATGCAAATGGCACAGAAGGGCTCCTCCACCCTGGGGTTAAGCCCCCACCCTAGATTAGAACAGGAAACCGTCTTGCAGTTGTGTTTTTTATCTGTGTTGACGTTTTATTATTTATTTCATATTTATTATTCTAATAATTTATTATAATTTTTTTTAAAAATGCAAATAATAATGATTTTTTTTTTTTTTGCATTTTAAAAATTCTAATACTTAAGTTACAAATCCAAAACAAGAGAGAAATAATGGGGAAATAAAATATGAAATAAATAAATAAATAATAAAATGTCAACAAATAAAAAAAAATCATAAATATCATATTAATATATTATAATTAACATAATAATAATAATGATGATGATGATAATAGTCACGGTGGTGCAGTGGTTAGCATTGTCGCCTCACAGCAATTAATTTAATTAATTTCCTCTGGCAATTTTTCCATAAACATAACTTTTTGGCATATTTGTGCCAAAACATTATGCCACTTTGTTATAACTGTGTTACACACATGTAGCCTATAGGCTGTGTTGTGTTACATCATCATCAACAAAAGTGAGTCTGCCTGCATTTAAATATTAAATCAATATGTTATAACATCATAAAGAAGAAAATATATCAAAATTTTGCTGAATTTTGCAGGACTTTTGACAGTGATTGCAGTGAACATCTGACATTGAACCACTTACCTCTGCTCAGGTTATTGATGCACATGATCAGCCTGCAGCAGATAATCCTCCAGTTTCATAAAGTTTTCTTCTTCAAGTCAGGGTGCGAGCGAGTAAAACAAACAAAAAAAAGTGTGGCGACCACCCGCGTGCTGCTAAACAACGCCCCAAGCTGAGATAGGAGTCAACACGTCGGCTGAGTGAAGAGCTGCAGTTTCACACCTCAGCTCCTCTACCTGCAGCTACGAGGCTATACCTCTCAGGCAGGATGTGATGTGAGAGATATGTTGGACTGTGAACACAGCGGGACAACTGCGACCAGCAAAGCCTGCCAGCTTCTCCCGTCAGGAAAATTAAAACTTAATCAAGACAGAAACCATCTGTCCCCCGGACAATATGCGGCCACTTTCATTAGCGCCCTAAGAAGCTTAGAGTGGAGTATCGACATCCTGTCACACAGCGGATAGAGGAAATAAACTGTGTCTGAAGGCCAAGTCCTGTTCTCACCAGATAGTTTATGTGTTGTCTTTGAGCTCATATTTGAACACAGACTTTATTTATGCTGTCACATTGCCAAGCAGCAAAGGTGAGATTTCACACCTGTTTTTTTTTTTTTTTTTTTTGCTTCATAGATTTCCCAGAATGCAAATTAATGTCTGCAATCCAGTAATGAAGCATATCACGCCACTCAAAGTAAAATGTCACACTGAGCTATGAATATTCAATTAGACATCAACAGAAAAATGCATATTTTCCTCTTACCTGTGGTGCTAGAATTTATCAGTCTAGATTGTTTTGGTTGCAGAGTGTTGGAGATTTCAGCCATAGACAGTTATTATTATTGGGTGGGAATATACCCTATGTTTTTCTATGCAAAAATTCTGCCCACTGTTTTAGCAAGTAAAAGAGAAATGTTTAAAAAGCTCTCTGCACTTCAGCTGAGTCCACCACTCGAGCCCTGAACATTCTGTCCAATACATATCAATGTAAAAACCCGAAAAGGGCATTTTTACCATGCTCCAAACAATTCTGAATACTTTAGAAAGTTTGAATGGAGTTTCTATGTGAATGTATGAATTAAGAAATAGGCTTTGAAAATACTTGAAAACCTTGAATTTGTGTCATTTGAACATTGCCCGGTTTCTATCTATGATATGTGGCGACCTGTCCAGGGTGTACCCTGCCTCTCACCCAGTGACAGCTGGGATAGGCTCCAGCACCCCACGAACCCTAACAGGATAAGTGGTTACGGAAAATGAATGAATGAATGAATGTTTCAAACTTTCTGAAATATTCGCTGTTTTCTGGGACATTCTCCCTATTTAAATGAACAGAGGAATGTTCAAACTTAAGACAAACTCAAGGTTTTTCAAGTATTTTCAAAGCTTTTTCTTCATTCATACATTCACGTAGAAAGTCTGTTCAGACTTTAAAAAGTCCCCCATCTTTCATACATTCTGGTTCGTATTAAACTTTCAAATCCCATTCAAACTTTTTGAAATATTCAGACTTGGCTTGGAGCATGGTGAAAATGCCCTCAAGTTTTTACATTGATTTGTATTGGATGGAATGTTCAGAGCAAGAGTTGGGGACCCAGCTGTTTAAGTGGAGAGAGCTTCTTAAACATTTCTCTTTAACTCGCTGTCACGCCCACAGTTTTCATTCTACATGCATAATTTTTGGTCAAAATGGAGTAAAGCTTGTGCTCTTTTAAAACATGTTGCTGTGGAAACAATCTGACTTAGACATTTGGCACAGTGAGCCTGAAAGTGGCAAAAACTCCACTAAGTGATGTCATTTAACTCAATGTTAACTGAGACCAGAGATCTTAAAATATCCCACATCATTCATACATTCATGGTATTATTCAATGTTTAAAGCTGGCATTGCAGTGAAGCATCAGCTATTCAACATGCAGCATTCACAGCCACAGATTCTTACGTAATAGCTTTCTCTACTTATTATTATTAATGTTGTATTTATTAATAACAAAAGCAAGAGCTAATGAGAAATCAACACAGATGAACAACTGTGCCAAAAAACAATAATAGTAAATAATAAGAGAGAACGATGTTTAAATTTCATCCCCTTCTTGTTCTTGTACTGTGCCCAGATTGCTTTTTGATTTAATTTAATTTTCTCTTACTTTAATGATTTCCTCATACACTCCACCATTTTCCCTTACGCTTGATTTTTCTTGAATAATGTATTTTTCTTTCTTTGCAGGCAATTTTGGCACCCTCGCTCTGCATGGCACCCTATGCAGCAACCAGAAGGAAGCGTGCATCTACTAATGTCACAGTGTGAGATGCAAACATTAACAGCATCCTCCTTGCCTGAGCTGTAACATTAGCTAGCTCAGTGGTGCTAGGTGAGCTAGCAGTAGATGCACGCTTCCTTCTGCACAGTGATGCAGTTGGCGGGTGTAGTTTGGTAGAAAGAAAATAGTTCCCACATGCTCACAACAAGGTCTGTAGATTATCTTGAGTAACCGGGTCATGATTTCTGGAAGGAGACATGAGTTTTATAAATGTATTTTTTGGCACTTTGAGCACCACAAGCTGAGTGCCATCTAGTTCCATTATGTCTGAAAGAAGGCAGACATCTCTACAGCCGGCACATCCAACATTCTGCAACTCTAGATTCTCTCTAGAAAATCTAGGTTGATAACCAGCAGGTAGGAAGAAAATTGTATTTTCAATTTTGAGGTGAACCGTCCCTTTAATAAGAGACTTCCTACCAGGTCACCTATATTTTTAAGTGTTTAAGTGTTTACGAGTTGTGGTTGTAATCCAGTTACACTGAATTCATTAATGTTGATTAACATTGAAGCTGCTGTATTGCTTCCAATTGGGGAAACATGACAAAAAAAAAATCTGGCAGCAGAGTCTTCCTCTATAACCATGATAATAAAACTTTATTAGAGCATAATACACATTATTATTCTCATCTGATTGACAGGGAAATCGCTACAATATCAGTCAACACATGACAAATACACAAAGAAGTAAACAACATTACTAATAGAAAAAAACAATGCTGTTAACTGACTCCATATTCATATGACACCCAGTCCTGTCCGACAAGAGAGACCTCACTCACATTATTTACATTTTCATATCAAATGTGCTACTGCAACATCACAGTAACCTTGTGATGCAAGACCCAGTTTGCATTCAGATGCAGTCGATCTGACGTCAGTGCTGAGTGCTGTAATGAATGTTCAGGTGGTGAAATTGAGCTTGAAGAGAACCGTCTGGGGCGTTGTGACGTCGGCCACAGCTAGCTCCTGTCCATCTGACAAGCCCAGCTCTGCATCAAAGGGGAAAAAACACATATTATATGTACATTATCATGAAAGCCAAACGCTACTTTACTGTGGACAGATTGGTGCACCGCTTCTTGTTACCTTTCAAAGTCTTGCAGAGGTTTGGCCTGGTTCGTTCCTCAATGGACTTTACAGACTGGAATAAAAATGTAATCATGGTTCAATTGTAGGTCATGATAAAATTGCAGGCGAACAAGCACCATGAAGCATTGATTAAATAAAGATTAAATACTACGTATTACCTGCAAATACAGCGTCTTATTCTTCCCTTCCAGAGTTGTGGTGATAGCCGGGGATTTCATTTGTCTGCAAAACATTTATATACAATTTAAACCTAATCATTGTTATTTTCCATAAAGAAGCATTAAATATGTTTTTATCTGAACACTCACAGAGCCGCGTTCTCTGTCAGGTACTCTAAAACCTCCTGTAATTTGGCAGACGGAGGGAACTGGAGGTCTTGGGGCACCTGGCTGCATGCTGAACAGTTTTCCTGATGATAAAAGACGATGCAGAGTAAAACTTTTCATTCTTTGTACTCAAAAATGCTCATTACACAACATCTGGATTAAAAAAAAAAGGGGGAACTGTATGAGATGGAACAAATCACATATGCACTGAGGCTGCAAAGTCCAACATTTATAAAGAGGTGGAGTCCTGTAATGAGTTTGTTAATGCAGTAAGGGAGCTCTAAAATAACTGAAAGTTAAGGTACAACAAACCTTTCGTTCTGCCTCAAAAGTGTAGGTGTAGAGTCCGTCCACGTCATTGAAGACCAGGTAGTTATTTAAAGGAATATACGCACTGCAAAATAAAATCTGATGTTAAGTAATGTTCATTTGACAAATCAATTAGGATGTGAGATGAAGAATTGTTTTCTGCTCCTAACCTTGTAGCAATTTTAAAAACCTCTGTGGCACAGGCAGCTATGGAGAACAAAGACAAAATTAAAGATAGTAACGTGACTTTCACAGTTGTTTCAGTACAATAAATCAAAAGTGAACATTTGATAAACCCCGCCTCCACGCAGCTATTATCCAATCCAGTCCAATCACGTGCATATGTCAGACACTTTTCCATGGTTACTGTTTTCCAAAGAGTCAGTTAGAAACAATAAAAACTCAATTGGAGACAAAGTTTTCAACCAGCTAACAAAATAAGCATGAACTAGCTAGGTAGTTGTAGCTGATAAAATCTGTTGTCATCTGTTGGGAAAATCAATGGTTGTTGGCTGGATGTAAGAGGCCCACTTTTGTTTACTTTTACGTAAAATCGAAGATCCATAGTTTAAAAATTACAACAAATTTTCAAGTTGTAAATCTGTCAATATCATCGTTGTATGAATATGTGCTAAGTGAGAACAGTTAGTTTGACAGGAGTAGAACAGGGAGCTTAGCCAAGGGGTTGTTTCTTTTGATATTTCAGCAAAGATATGACATAGATGTTTTCATATATTTCCTTTCCGTCAACATCTCTGATCTATGGAGCCAATTAGGAGACACGGGAGAAAAATAGATAGATGGGTGACAAGAAAAGTTCACCAGAGGCTGGCAGCAGTTGGACATCCAAAGCAGAAGAAATTAGTAACTCCTGCGGCACTTGACCAGGTTCCCACACGTTTTTACCAATGAATCATCAAAACTTTTCCAAACCTTTATCATATCCATGACTTTATTTAAGTAATTTAAAACAGGTAAGCAGATCATTGGATGTGGCAATAGATTAGCTGAGTGTTGGCTTAAGTTGTTTTGCAGCCATACTGGTAAAAGAGCTAACGTTATCTGGACTGGCTACGGCAGGATTGAAATACGCACAGTCGCCTGCAGTCTTTTGAGCGGCCTTGCAATTGTCTTGATGCTTTTTTAACTCTAGCATGGCTGACCGGGGCCGCTTTCCCTACGTTGCTAGCATCAAACATTTTGGTAAAGGGCTTACAGCAAGCACAGCAGGGGTTTGCCTCTCTCTTGAGCCATGTATTATGTCATCGAAAGCCAAGTAATATTAAACATGCACTTCTTAGAAGTTTGCAGATAAGCAAACTGCTAGCGCTTGCTAACTTTACTCACTGGCTAGACATTCCCGCCACACACAAGCTCCAAACAGCAATGTGTATCACAAAATACTAGTGACGTTTCAACAGTCATGCAGCGCAGAACTAGCTTTTTAACTATTAATATAGGAAAAATGTTTCATGTAACTTTAGACATGTTTTGCAATTTTATGAACATATTTCAGAGAATATCTCAAACAATGAATATTGAAAACGCTTCTCAAACATCCTGTTAAACCATTTCCAGGCCTGGTAGCATCCCCATAGTCTATAGCAACCACCATAGCAATGACAGAAAATGCTGCATTCCAATAATGTTTTGC